TAATTCAATTACAAACAACATATAAATATTTATCTCTCTTTGTGTTTAACATGCCTAATATTGTTGTTGTTATTATAAAACATTTATTTATTTTTTTTCAAGTGCGACCAATAACTAAAATATTTTAATGAATTTTTATTATTATTATTTTTATTGAATAAATATATTTAACAATTGTTTTGAGCAACAATATACAAAAACACTCGTAGTACATTGTGTGTATTATATACCTGACTAAATACGTATTGAACAAGCAGCGCACTCGAAATACAGAAAGTGTTACACTGTAATAGGTGAATGTACGCGGTATATAATTAGAAAAACATCCACGAACAACAATTCTAATTAGCACAAAGTACTATGACCACTCACTTTAAACACAATACTAAGGAGCCTTCAATAACAATCATATTTTAATATTAAATAATTAAATCAAGTTTAATTTTCGTCATATCGGCACTATAATTATATGAACAGTGCAATAGAATTTTTGTTCGGCAACGACATTATGATCGTATCAAGGTAAACAGGGTCGTCAATAAAAATATATGTAAACACACACAATATATGTAAACAAAAATTAAATAATAAAGTTTATATTACTGACCTGTAATTCACTATAAAATTAAAAACACTCCCTCAGTTTTGCAACCATTGCCACTGCCACAGATAAAACTCAACTATTTTTTTTTTAGAAGACACACCAAAGACAATAGGTACTGAGTGGGGCAGGTGCTTAAGGCTCCTCACACACGCCCATAGAAATATAGTCAGTCCAGAGACAGCGGAAGCACAGACAAATTTATCTCTCTGTAAGCAGAAGTAAATACTCTTTCAAAAACGGTTACCATAGCCAAAAATTGCACGATATTACTAGAGTCTAACGTTGACATTAATATTTAACTCGATATTAATCTACATATATATATATATTAGTATTATATATTTATATATTAGTATATAGATTAGTATTTTTACTATAAGTATTTTTCAAATGTAAAAAGAAATACATATCATTATCGAGTAGGTTTATATCAATACTATGTAATTCCTATATTAATTAATAGTTGCACGAATTATTTATCTTAAATATCTATAGGTGTACTGTCATATATACAATATCTATCTATCTAACAGAATTCAGTGTGTTGGTGCTGAAGGATATCTTAGTGACTTCAAGGCAGTGAATTTTGAGGTTCTACAAAGTAGTGTGCTCAGCCCTACTCTTTTTCTAATATACATCAACGACCTTTGTGGACTCAAATTAGAGAATGCCGAGATCTTTTCATATGCGGATGATACTGCCATTATTTTTAGTTCTAATTCCTGGGATAAAGTTGTGGATGTGGCTTCCAAGGGTTTAAATAAAATAGCGTATTGGTTACGGCAGAATTTGTTTACCTTGAATGTGGAAAAAGTATATGTGCTTCTCTACGGCTGAAGATTCTAATACATGAAATCACCAGACATTACAGATTCACTTTTGCAATACGTCAATTAGCACAACATGTGACTGTCCAAACATCGAAAGAGTGTCTACAACAAGATACCTCGGAGTAGTAATTGATCACACATTGAACTGGAAAGAACAAATTAAATCTTTATGTGCTCGGATTCGTAAGCTCAATATTATCTTCAAAAGGCTAAAGAAAGTTGCTGACTTTGGCGCAATAAAAATGGTTTATTCCGCACTTTGTGAACCTATCTTAACATACTGCATAGTAGCTTGGAAATCTATTCCCAAGACTTCTTATAAAGCTGAAACGAGCACAAAGGTTAATCTTAAAAACTGCTTTCAATAAAGAATACAGATATCCTACTGATGCTCTATATAAAGAAACCGAAATGCTTAGAGTCCAGCAACTATATGTACTACGCAATGTGCTAAGTTTTCATAATACAGCTCTTGCAAATATCCACACAAAACCCACACAAAATCGTTCCCAAAGGCGAAACAAATGGATTACTCCTAAGATGCGTATAAATTTGCTCAAAGGTCTTATTTGTTCACCGGAGTTTTCTTATACAACATTATAAATGATCACTGTAAAATATGTGATGTGACTAGATACCACTGTAAAAAAAGTGTCAAACATTGGTTGTAAGAACTCAACTACAATGCAACTGAACATATAATAAGTAACAAATCGGTAATTAAAGTAAGATACTTACTGATGTTATATGTTCCTTTTTTATGTATTACCATTATATTTCTATGTAAATATGTACTGTTACGTAATTTTGGTAAATGTATATGTGAATGAGATTTATATATATATATATATATATATATATATATATATATATATATATATATATATATATATATATATATATATATATATATATAACTAAATTGTTTATGTATTCAAAGTTTATATATTAGTTAATAAGTTTTGTAAGTAGAAGAGGGCCCGAGACTTCATGACACAAAGAATCCTAGTGTGAAGTTTTGGGAACAAATGTAAAATTGAAACATTTTTGGATTTAATAATTATATTAAATATAAAAAATGTTAAATATATCTATCCTTATCCTATAAATATCCTAGACCTAATCCTTGTTCTTTACAAATTCGTGTGAGATAGTATTTGTACTACGTATATAAGTATATATGTGCAAATGTATATGCAAACGTTCAACATTATTATCTCCTCCGTTTAGATATTTATGGGTGTGAAGAATAAGTAAATACGGGTTTACCCTTTGATTATATCGTAAGCATAAACTTATTATAACATTACATTTTAAAAATAGTTATAAGACTGCTAATTTTACGTCTATAGCATACCTTAGTTACTTCTACGAAGTTGCCAGATTGATAATTTTTTTACAATTTTAGGAAAACAATTTTGTATTGGTAACAGTATGGAGAAATAAAATTGTTGGAGAAATGTTTTGTATTTTATATTTATTTTTGATAATATTGGCCTTTGTAAATAATACATAGCAGTACACATATTTCAATTTCAATTTATTTTATTCGCTACAATACTGCATTGTATTGAATATTTTTATAAATAACAAGAAGATATCATAAAATATAACAAAACAAAAAAATATGAAGCAACAAAATAACCAATAATAATTGTCAAAAATAACATTACAATTAATTTACAAATGTTATTAGTAAGGTATAAAATATTAAGAGTATTTTAAAATTTACCAGTTGAGTAGATGCACCTTTCCAACAAAAGAGTATAAAGTTTTATTTTCAAAATTCTCCAATCTTTAATATCTCATATATTGCGTTGTTTGATAATTAATACCTTTTTTTATAGATGACGTGAAATGCATATTTCACGTAGTAGTAACTGCGTAGCTTACATTATTCTGTGTTATTTTAAATATTGAACTTTAAACTATATTCAACCAAAACAGAGCGTTGTTAGTAAAAACAAGTTGCTAAAAATGGACAATCAAAGAGAGCATCACCGGCATATATTATTGTTTTACTTCTATTAGAGTAAAAATGCGGTCCAAACTCAAAAAAATATGTGAAGTTTTTTGTAAGGAATCACCTAGTGAACGCCAGTGTCAGCGTTAGTTTGCTTGCTTTTATTCTAGAAAATTTAATATGCAAAATCCACCAGATACTGGTTATCCAAACCACTACTGATCACGGCAAAATAAAGGCGTTAATCAAAACTAACCGGCATATGACACCTCGAAAAATAACAATACAGCTCGACTTGTCGAATTCAACTTTGTTTGCACTTGCAACATCTAGGTTACCTTAAAACACGAATTAAAGGAAATACACCTCACTTAATATATATAATATTATAAAATATCATATATTCTTACATTAAATTGAATATAGCGCCCTGTAGAAGAATTTTTTTACAATACGATGTTGAGTATCAAATGAAAGGGCTTAATTGGGTAACATATTTAAATATACATATTGTTAGTTGTTACCCGTGGTTTTTCTTATTTACACCCGATAATTAACAATAAATTCTAAAATCACGTCTCAGTTATGAGCCGAACATATTTTCTCTCCAACTCAAAATAGAGGATCTATAAATTAACACGGAATACTTATTGCCTCAAAATAATTAAAATAAAAAATAAATTCAGTAACAAAAATTAATAGTTTTTGTTAAAAACGATGCTCTATAAAATATGAAACAAGAAAATATTCTCTATAAATATTCTGTATGGTATTTGAAATTGTTAGTTACAAATGATTCAATAATTATTGCCTACTAAATAATCAACTTACACGTAGTATTTTTTATTTTAATGTATTATTAATAATATGTTCGAAAAATAATAACAGTTGTATGGCATCTCATATGTCATGCTCATACAATAAATGCTATATAGTTTGTACTAACAATTTCAAGTAAGAAAATTTTCTTATTTCATACTTTGGCGTGATTTTTGGTCATCAGGTTTTAGTTTTAGAATATACTTATTAATTATATTCAATATTTCATTAATTTTTTCTTAAATATCAATGGAAAAATTATTAAATGACTGAACGTTGTTACATTAATATTATAAATGCTAAGTTTGTTTCTTTTTAAACTCTTAGAACTTTAACACCTTAACCAATGAAATTTAGTATACAGGTTTTATATAAAATAAAGAAGGATGTTTACTTTTCATTTCGAACAGTGAATATATCCGGGTAACATGGAGAAAATCACGGGTAAAAGCTAATTTACCATAGTTTTAAAGTTGTAATAATAACTTGAAAAATTATAAAGTCTAATGAAGTATTTATCTGTTCCTGAACTCGAGTTAATAAGTTAGTATTAAAATTTTCGAATACCAAAAAATGCTGACTCAGCTCATCACTATTTTGCGTAGTGTAATTACTTGTTAAATCTCTAATCTGTGATGGCAAATAGTTATGAAAACCGACACAAATTTTTAAGGTTAGCCTATTGATTTAAAATATATATATGTACATATTTGATCTTTGGGTAGAAATAAAAAGTTGCATTTGGCAACACTGTACTTATAGTTTTCTGTATCCTATTGTCTATTGTTCGTTTCGTCAGTATATACAATTGCAGTAAAGTTTTCTTCTTTTGACGACTTTGTTTCTTGGTCTCGTCGGTTTCTCACTCTTTCTTGCAGAAGATAACTTCTTGGTCCTATAAATATTACAAAATGAAAAGGTAAATAGTTACAGTTTTGTCTAACACTAACAAATGTTTATTTTGCCTCATTTTTTTTTTTTGTTATACCTACTACCGGGTGACGCCGACTATGTTTTGATTACAATGTCGTTTTATTTAGGTTAAAAATTATAGTTTCTGACTCTGATTTTACTTTTTTTCACCTTGACCGCGAATAATTAGTTGTTAAATAGGTTGATTAATTCCATAATTCGTAAAATATGCGTATAGTTGAACAATACACCATTTTGTTTTAAAAAAAACTACTCTTTCCTTTGTAAATAAGATTTTTTTTTTCTCTGTAATTCATATTAGTTTCTCTTTTTATCTTTAATTTCTTTTTAGAACTACATTACAGAGTTGAAATATGATGTAATTACAAATCGGATAGAAGATTTTTAACATATTTTTGTTTTAAAAATTAAATTTATTATGTTCAACTAAAAAAAACTAAGGCACGCTTTTCCCAAAATGTGCCTTAGTTTTTTTTTACTCCTAGCCACGTGGCAAACTAGCCACGGTGCAAACATTTTGTAGAAAACCTCCCAAATTCTAGAAAATATTTTTTAGTTCTGTTCATATTATTCCTGCATTTACCAATTACATTGGACAGAAACAGTGGAATACCCAATGTATAGGCAGCGTAATACAGGGATAGGGTCGCCACAGCCTTGAAGATCTCTATTTTGGTTTCTATGATTTTATATTTCCATTTTTTCCCACCTGTGCTATCAGTACCAATGTATGGTGCCCCCAGTGAGGAATGATAGGTGACTCTAAAGTGGCATGTCCGTTGGTCCATCATAATGAATACATCGGGAATTCAGCATGATTTCCAGGGGGCTCATGTGGAGGTCTACCTGACAACGATATGACTCGTAGTCTGCGGTACTGACAATCTCTTACCCCTTCATCATTTTATTTAGACTAACAATGTCATTATATTATCCAGGTTAAAAGCATCATTATATTATTTAAGTTAACAATCTCAAATACTATGCAGCTATTAATTTTTAAATTTGTTTAGTATATGGATTTCAAATGCAACAATATTTATTGTTTTGATATTTTGATTTTAAAACTAAATTACTGAACCGTTTTTGATAAAATTTTGATGGGATCAATCTCAAATTATATTCTTTCAGATAAAAGGATTTTTCAAATCGATTTACAATTGATAGAATTATTAGGTTTTTTAGTTTAAGCGTTTTATAAGAACTTGTTAATTTTGGATTTTATACTTTTATTTAGCCATCTTTTTCCATCAGCAAAGAGCCTTTCACAAAAAATATATTTAGGATGGCCATTACTTGAATCTTTACTTATTTGGGTACAACATGGCATAACCGCCATATTGTGTTAAATAAATAACACGGAACCTTTGAAAAAAAAAACTTTCCAGTAATTTACATTCATTTCTCTTTTTATCTTTAACTACTTTTTAGAACTACACCCCAGAGTTAATATTTTGTATTATCACAAATAGGAATGCAGATTTATAACATGGCTTAACCGCCATTTTGTGTTAAATAAAATACACCTATCTCTCTTGAAAAAAGAAACTTTTTCTTGTAATTCATATTAATTTCTCTTTTTATCTTTAGCTACTTTCTTCTTACAATATAATTTATTGTTTTTAGTTTAATGTGCATATATTTAAATTTATTACTTTTATTATTAGGTCCTTTCTTATTTAATAACATAAGGTGATAGGTCAATATGAAGAGGGTTCAGTGGGCCCATTGTGATGGGTGGTTCATCCGGAATTAACTATAACTTTGACTAGGGCCGCGTGAAGGTCTCCTTACAATATATCGCTACCATTGGGGATAATAGTCCCCATTACGGACTTCTAAGTTGAAAAATATAAATTTCTTTAACAGGAAGGTGCAAGCCCAACGTAAGTTTGCTCAAGGTGCATACGTGCCACCATTGCAGCATACCAACAATAACATAGAGAAGAGAGCGGACGGCGTCAAAGACGAGCAGAAAGTCTGCGTCACCCACCACGACATATCACCCAGTGTATTCTTGGATCTAGTCTCATTTGCAAGTAAGTATTCTTATTGTAAATGATCTAATCCTATATAAAGGAAAAATTGGTTTTGATTGGTACAACCGACTTCAAAAAAAAAGATTGTTATAAATTTGGTCATGTTTTGTTTTCAGATTACTTTGTCGGGTGCCCACGATGCAGGTTCACCTAGTGTGGGGCCCAATTGTAACATAGTTTTTTCTAAATATTTTTTCTTTTTATTTTGCTTCTTAGTAAATTGTTTGTTTATTAAGAGGTTTTTAATAATTGTTAATTTAGCACTGCACGTAATGTAAATGGTAAATGTGTGTCATTTGAAATGTCTCGTTCTTAGCTTATCACCTTAAGAGGAACCAACATGGGAACTTCTCTAAATGAGACCTTTGACTCATGTACAGACATGGTTGCATCCGACTCATAGCGTTTCTGTTTTCACAATTTGAAGCCACAATTGCTCGATAAAAAGAAGGGAATGACTACAAATATAACGCTGTAAAATCAAAACTGTCCAAAGAAGTTATACATTTACTTTAAGTGATATAATTACTCGATCTCCAGGCAGATAATAAGCATTCCCAAATGGCCAAAGAAAGGCTAATCAACTACTATGAAGAGAGTGAACAGCGGCGTCTTCATAGATTACTGTTGTCTGAAATGAATTTTGGAAATCAAAAATCATCCCAACTGTTGCGGAGGAAGGGAGAAGCTGGCGAAGTGACTATACTATACACATTTATTATTGAAACATATTCAACTGTTATGTAAAATGATGTTATAACTACATACATACATATATACATACATACATATATACATATCTGTCACGCATGTCTCCCATTAGGGTAGGCAATGTTATAACTATGTAATAAATATATTAATATATATATATATACATACATACATACATACACACACACACACACACATACACACATATACATATGTATATATATAATTTGTAGGATTTGGCCGTGCGCTCCTGGCATAGAATAGGCCACTCCTTTCCATAGACAGCAGCGTCCTTCTTAAAACATCTCTAAAGCCTAACTGCAGTTGCCAATCTGCCTGCCATGGGTGGCAACTACTGGCAAAACTGTCTGTCGTCTTAATACTATACAAACTTTGTCACTATTAAATATTGCTTTTTGTAACAACAAATTTTAATTTCAGATCTGCACTTTCACAAGAAACTGCAGCCAATTGTTCGTTTAGAACGCTTAAAGACTAACGACCCCTCTCCAAAAGATTCGGATACAATAAAATCGGCGCAAGCAATAAAAACACCAAAGAAAAAAATACAAAAACGTAAGAACACTAAACGCCTGAACAATGTCAGTTTGAAGTACGTCAGTGAAAATTTGAAACCAAAAACGTTATCTCAAATTAGATTAAGCACAATAAAAAGAATGAAAGCGGTGGACGACAACGTGGCACCCAGGAGACTGGTCAGGAAAAGGAATGCTAATTCACAAACCCAAGATCCCGACGAGGACGACACGCCATTGAAATATTTCGCGAAAAACACCAGAAACAACACGAGCAAGGATCACGCACCGGTGGCCAAGCGCAGAAAACCACATAGTAAGTATTGACGAAACGCGTTGCCGTTTAGCTTCCAAAAAAAGCTACATTGTTAAAATGTAAATTTTTGTTATTTGTTATTTTTTTAGTTTAGTTCCATATTGTTAAAGGTGCAAATAAATAATTTTTGATAAATCATCTACCTAGTTGAAAATTATTTTAAACATTTGCATAGTGATTTGGGTATTTATTCCATGCTGCTTAAGCTTCATGCCACTGATTGTTTGTAAAGTATCCGTATACTAAATTTCATTCAAATCTTTTCAGCCGTTTAAGCGTGTTTGAGTAACAAACATTCTAACCTCATGTTTACAATATTAATAACATTTATTTATTAAAAATAATTACAACATTATAACAGCAAAAGCCAAATCAATGTTATAAGTCTAGTGTGCTAACATACAAAGTTATAATAAATGTATTTAACCCGACTCCAGATATTTCTGAGCCGCTTCTATTTATTTATTTATTTCTTATTGCATTCCATAATATACTTAGTAGATAACATTTTCATTATGGATCCTGTTGGGCACAGCAAGTAGGAGAGAGGAGGACAACACTTTTTTCACTTTAGAAATAGTCTAAGGATCTGTTACAATATTATCCAGCCATTCTAATATCTTTGGCAGGCTACTACTAGTTATATCAATGATGTTCAACATAGTAGAATATCATAAGCATAAATATCCTACTAACACAAATATTCCCGTTAATTCAACAGTGATAATGACAATGACGCACCGACGACCTACTGTCATTGTTTTATTTATATAAATAAATGGTAATACAAATATTAGTTAGAAATAGTTCATATAATTGTGATAAATATATTTATTACCAACTACGGTAATCACATATTACTAAATTGCTATTGTACACGTAGGTAGACATGGGTCCTTTGACATGACCTAAATCAGTCGGAGATCGCTACTAATCATGGCATTGTACAATATACGGGTGTGCCCTAAAATTCAAATGGGAATCTTTATTTAAACAGTCTTAAGAAGTTAAAGATTAAATTTTTTTATTTTAAAAATGGAATGCGCATCGTATTTATTCAGAGAGACTTGTTTATAAAGCCTTTTGAAGTACTTTTAATATAAATAATTTTATATAATAATTAATTTAATAGACTAGTGTTAAATAGAATTCTTAGGACTACGATTAATCAAAAAAATTGTTATAATATGTGTATACAAATTTTTAATAATATACCAGAAAATGTTATTACCTTCTACACTTATAGTAAATCTGTAGAGAGGTCAATTCTGTACATGAAATATATTTCCAAAATAACTATCAGGGGGTGATTAGTGATCGATACTGATGCCAAAATTGCAATCAGTAAATTTTTGTCTGTCTGTCTGTTTGTATGTTCGTTATAGAAACAAAAACTACTCGACGGATTTTAACGAAACTAGGTACAATTGTTCTTTATACTCCTGGACAGGTTAAAGTATTATACGTATAAATACTTTTCATCACGCTACGATCAATAGGAGCAGAGCAGTGAAGGGAAATGTTGAGAAAACGGGAGAAGTTACTCCATTTTTAAACTTCCGTCGCGTGTGCAGCCTTAATGGCCCTTTTTTAAAATGTATAAATGTCCACCCGTGCGACGCCGGGACGGGTCGCTAGTAAATATAAAGACACTGAGACAATTTAAGACTGTGCAAATGCATTTTGGACAAGTGTTATTCTTCAATTAAGGACTTGTTGGACTAGAAAATAATTCCGATTTATAAGCACATAACTAATATTTTATCAATGGTATTTAAAAAAAAATTACCATAAATATTAAAATGCATTGTATGCCATTGTTTTGGCAAAACACGCCTGTTCCTAACATATTATGATAACCATCTGTATACCGTGTTTTTCAGCAAATTTTATTATTAATTTACCGATAAAACGTCCCATTAATGTCTCACTGCAATCGTTGCTTGCAACTGTTTGTACCAGTATCTATACTAAGTTTAGTACTGTAATCTTTTGAAGGAGCAAGAGTATATCGTATGTTTAAAATGGCATGGTAATTTAAAATGCTGTTCATGATCGACTAATGATTATTTCCAGTGCTGTTCACGACTATCGGTGACTGTTAGCACTTTGCGTCAGGTGAACCTTTAGTTTGTTGGTAATATAATGTGAAATAAATCTAGTCAGTTTGAGTGGTGCTAAATCTTCAGCTTTTTTTTACAAACTATTAATATATAATTGATAAGATTAGTACGTTTAAGTAGGTACTGGTAGGTACATACAATATACTTTTTATATATATATATATATATATATATATATATATATATATATATATATATATATATATATATATATACATACAATAGATTAATTGATTCTATTGTTATTTTATAGACTTCTAGTAATTAAAACATTATGTAATCATTACAGCTACCCACAATTCAAAGTTGCAAACTCCAAAACCGTCACCAACCAAACAGGCACTACGGAAACCAAAGCAAATTTCAGGTAATAAGAGTCAAATATTTTCTCATTTTTTTTTATATAATAAAAAAAATTGGTTGTCAACTAAGCTAACGGCCCACCTGACGGAATGTGGTAACCGCATGGTTGGCATGAAGAGTGTCGTAGACATTGCAGTATGCACTGTGACGTACATGCTGCCCCTCTTTCGTTGCTATTCCTAAGGTCTACAATGTTATGCGTTTGTACCCTGTTTTTGACTGGTTACATTAGTTATTTTTTTTGTTATATTGTTGCATCATTATCGACTATAATTTTTTTTATCATCAATTCATATCAGCCGTTAACTCGGCTGCTAATTGCTGAACATGGGCTTCCCCCATAAGAGGTCGTTATACGTCCATATAAATTGTATGTGACGTGGATATTGTAATCGCAAAGTAAGAAATCACTACGTTATGTAAAAATCGACACTGCTGTTATCTTGAAAATGAATTTTATTGCCTGAATATCTGAATGTGACAGAAAGTGATCTCTGACTACCCCTCATCTAATGGTATCTGTTATTTATTTATTTATGTAGAATATAATATAAAGTGAAGGCAAATATAATGGACACATACAATGCAGTTTATTTATATATATTTTTTTTATATTGTAAATTTTTAATGAAAAGTTTCGCGACTGACTCTTGGCCACAGCAGAATATCAGTGTTTTGCTCTTTTAAGGGCAAAGCAATAAACTGAGCTGTGACCATTTTGTGTTACTATGGCACACGCATGAAGGAAGGGAAAGAAAGGAGATTGTTAGATTATATATTTTGTTTTTGTATTTTTTTTTATTTGTGCTTTTTTTATTTTTATTCTTTTGTCTCTTTTGCTGTGTATTATGTGTATGTTTTTTTTTTATTGTAATTTGTGTGCTGTAAGTAATGTAAATAAATTATCTATCTATCTATCTATCTAATTTATGCAACTTTTTTTTAAAACACTAAAACTATTGTATTCTCGCAGTTTTTCACTGTTTTGTCTGTGTTGTATATAAAATATTCTTATATCTTACCAAATTTCATTCAAATCATATACAAATCTTTCACATTTTTAATATTACATAATTAATTAATTTCTAGCTGCTTTATATAGTGTAAAATGTACAAACTCAACAAACTATATTTCATTTTTAAAATGACGTTTTTCTCTCTTTAGAAAACAAACCCTTGACAAGAAAAGCCGCCAAATTATCTGAAAGTAAGTGAACTAAATTAAATAAATAAAAATAAAGTCTTGATCAGCGATTGAATTTATCAATTGGTCGTGGAATCCTTTGTTACTTTATCCATTTAATCGCTAATTCATTTATTCAAACATTTTTCAAATATTTGTCTTGTCCTTATATAAACGTCCAGACAAATAAATAAGAAAAAACACAGCGCTTGGGACTCATAGCCCAATTTTGAAGTACTATCACACAATTAGAAGTGCAATTTTGAATTTTTCATCTATAAATATTGCAAATTTTTATAAATTAACATTCTTAAAACACTTTAATACTTATTTAATTGAAAATAATTTTATATAAATTAATTTTCAATTAAATATGTTTCATGTCGTCGATAATTTTATTCAATTGAACATTTTTTTCAGTAATTTGTGATGTATCACCAGTAAAGAAAAGAACATTAAAAAAAATGCTTAGATCATTGCCAAAAAAGAAAATAGAAAGCCACGCATCAACGAAGGCCAAGCCACCTCGGAAGTTATCGTCCACTAACGCAACTAGTTCTGAAAACGTAAATGAATCCATATTGACAGCGAACAACAATGAATGGGAGCAGTTCGCACGCATGAACGTCTCTCAAGGCAGCGACGACCCGTCTCCACCCGCCGCTGAAGGCGAAACTTCGACTGCTCTAGTAAAAACTAGATTCGCCAGTCTAGATAAGTTCATATTAAATCCAAAACCTGCTCCTGTCGTTAAGGCTGCGCCTTCTAAGCACGAAACGCCCACTAGTGCTACAATGTTTGCCCGAGCTCAAAGTGGCTATTATGGCACCAATGAAATACAACAGTGGATAAATAATTCAATGCAAAATAGGCCAGAAACAGAAGAAGTGTTCAAAGTACCGGCCATACCGGACTCGAACGAGTACGGTATAGCCGAAGATACAAAAGAATTGGCAGAGACCTCATCTGAAATGCCACTGTTGACTGAAATGCCACGATTAACGGAAATGTCACCGTTAATTGAAATATCACCGTTTACTGACATGCCACTGTTAATGGAGCGTCCTAACGCCAGTTCCCCGTGCCCGTCCGAGCGGTACTCCACTGTAAGGGACGTGGTGTGTGCTCCGAGCGTTGATCTAGAGCGCCGCTGCAGAAACTGTTCACCGTGTGCACGCGTCACCAAAGTGGAACGACTTTCGCAGATGGTGCAACGACCAGAACCTCCAGCAACCGCTGACCAACAAATATACGAATTTGACGCGGACGACGCGGATCGCGCCGACGACGAGGCCGGACAGAAGCTGCGCCTCGACCACTACCGGCAACAGCGCCGCGTGCCACGACCCCGGGACCCGCCCACCATCATATCGGCCACTGAAGGCGACAACTATTTTTACCTGGATCTATTCCCGGAAAACAGTCCGCACATCATTCAGATAATGTCAACGAAAATTCCTAATCAAAATAAACAGATGTTGCGTGCGCGACTCATGCAGAAGTCGCTGGTTAATTGTAAAAATGAGTTCAGTCTGATCGAGCACGAAAACTTGCTGGATCAGCTGTTAGAGACACTCAATATGAGCAAGCAGAGCACAGGGGAACTAACGAAAGATCAGCCAGTGGTTGTACTCGCAAGTGGTTCAGACACGGCGCCTGCGCAACTCGATAGAGTTTCGACAGCATGCACTGCGCCCGCAGTGTCCGGTCCTATCACAGCGACGGCGCCGCTGGCTGCATCTGTCGCGTCCACACCCGCGGTTCCTCTCGCAGCGACTGTTCCGCCCGCAGTTAATTTCCCGCTTGTAGCGATTGCCTCATCTACAGTGACAACTCCGCCCGTGGCGGCTATTCCTTCGACGTCTGCGCAGTCGGCCTCGTGCGTCCCACCCGCTGTTCCCACACCGCCCGTTTCGTCGAAAACCGTTACAAAAAATACACCGAAAAATTCAAATCGAACCAAGTGTTCGACTAGTCGACCGTCCACGAGTAAAATGGCTACTCGAGCTACTCCAGTAGCTAAAGTTCGCAATGCACCTGCGGATATAGTGTCAAACAAAAAATCCACCCAACAATCGTCGGCCAAGAGAAAATCTAACACTCAAAAGAATGCACAGAGTGGCGTACTTATGAACGCGCCGATCTATCACCCGACAGAAGAAGAATTCAAAGTAAGTTTATTTCATTGTAACTTTCCAGTTCGGCTTTGCATGTCTAGATAGAATTTTCAATAATATATAACCATACATATATGCTAATATATTGCTATTCGTTGACAATGTAGCTTTCTATAAATGAAATAATTTTTAAAATCGATTGATTAGTTTTTGAATTTCATAATTCACGTTCTACCCTAATCTCGATAATTATTTTTGGTAGGCGTAATATTTTTTTCTTCCATTCTTCTCTATTCGCAGTCACTTCCGCATTCACTCCCAATCTTGCCACATCATCCTTGTATGGAAAAGTATGAGTCATTACATTTCTAATTGTTGCAGGATCCGTTGACATATATAAAAAAAATAATGCCTGAAGCCTCGAAATACGGCCTGTGTAAGGTGGTCGCGCCGAAGGGATTCCAACCTCCATGCTTGGTCAAAAACGAAATAAGATTTAATGTGTCTAATCAATATATAGCACGCTTGTATAATCGTTGGGGGCCCGCTACAAGCGAAATGTGTGCCATAAAAACATATCTCGTCTCGCAGAGTGTACAGTTTAACAGAGCTCCATTGGTGAGTGGACCAATTATTTAGACTACTAGCATTTACCTACCACTTTCTTATGCATGAATAATTGTTTTAACGTATTGGAGGTAGTAGGTTTTTTATTGTTCTGAGCAAAATTGACTTGTTTAATTCATGTAATTGATGCATCATTTCTTTCATCAACAGCTAAATAATTTAGAAGTTAACCTGCCCAAGCTGTACCACGTGGTGCAGAAATATGGCGGTCTTAAAAAAGTAATGGAAAAAAAGAAATGGGGCCGAGTAGCCGAAGAATTGAGGAATGGTAGACCATGCAACCCTGAAAAACTGGATCTACTTTATTTGAGATTTTTACTACCTTACGACACACTTTCCCATAGTGAGTATACTGTAATATGGACTATACTGGAACTTTTTCCATGTTTCCCATTATTTACATTTGTTTTCTATTGGGCGTGGCTGAGCGCATATGCACACAGCCTTTTTTTTTTAATGGGTGATAATGGAATAATTGCCCCGCCTGCGCTATCGGGATACGCTGGCGGAGCACCAGTGAAGAATGATAGGTGAGGATGAAGCAGGTCAGTTGGCCCATTGTGACGAATTCAACAAGAATTGTTCACGACGGTTTCCAGGGGGAACCACGTGAAGGTCGACCTAATAGGGCATATTGCTAGCAATGGGGCTGTCAAACTCCATTGCTAACAATAATCAATACACATGTTTGACATCTCAAATATGCTTCTATTGCAGAGGAACGCCAGCAAATAATCAGATCCGTAGAAAAGGGCTGGAAGAAGAAAAATAATAAAATGCTTGAACGGGCCTCGAACCCACTACACCGACAGAAGCGGCTTCTAGGTGAGAGCGAATCTTCCGGCGACGATACCGAAGAAGAGAACGACATGACCTCCGCGCTGACTGAGGCTGAAGATTGCGTGGTCCCCGGCCGTAGCATGACGCTCGTCACTTTTGTTAAGGTAAGAGCAAGTTTCGGAAGTATACGTTATAATCTACTAGCTATTTCTCGCCGCTTTGTCCGCGTGAGTCAGTATATAAGGTATTCCTGTTTTTTTTTTATACCGCTGAGGTGGCAAATAAGCACAGGCCCACCTAATGGTAAACAGTTACCAGGGGCATTACACTATTGTTCCCTAAAGCAGTATATTATAGCATACCCTAAAGTAACCTCTTTACCCCCCTTTTTTTTGGAACCCATATGCTTGTTTGCCACTTTGTAGTGGTATAAAAAACTATAAATTTGAGATTCAGAGATAATTTTTATTTTATGAATTCTTCAAACACTATAGAAGCCCATCTCGACAAGCCAGAACCTTTTAGTTTCTTTTTAAATGAATTTAGATTAACAGAATTTTGATTGGTATTTCTCCGAAGAATGAGCTGTGGTTAATGGTAGCCATTGTTGACAGGCTGCGGCGGCGGCGCAGGACACCTATTATGGCCGTTCACGTAAACCACTTCCGTCACTGGTGGAACAGGAGTATTGGAAGCTGGTTGTTAATGGATCGGACCATGTGTGTGTCTATACTGCTTCAATTGACACAGGCGACGAGGGTTATGGCTTTCCTACTGATAAAAATGACTCTTACGGCACACACCCATGGAACCTCAAAGTATGTGTTTATTATTTGTTTTTTAATAAAGGTACGTTGGGGAGAAAGGGATTGTTAGTAATGGGACTAGAGGCCTCATTGCTAACAATATACCTTATCAGGTTGACCTCCACGCGGTTCCCCCTGGAAACCATCTTGATTGTTTTTTTTTTTCACTATGGGTCGACTGATTTGCTTTCATCCTCACCTATCATCTCTCACTGGTGGCCTGCCAGTGTATACCGTTAGCGCAGGCGGGGTTACTATTTCATTATCATCCATTAAAAAAATACAGGTACGTGTGTACAAGGTAATGACATAATGCTAAAAGCATTTTCCTAGTCACCTTTAAGGAAGCGTTAGAATACTCGAATGTGGTGCTGATGTTGACAGGCTTATTACAAGTATCTTATTTCTCTCCTTTTTCAACCGACTTCAAAAAAGAATGTTCTTAATTGAGTATTATTAATTTTTTTCATGTTTATTACTTGATAACTCCTGAATCGTTTTGTGCAGATGATCAGTCAGAACGAGGGTAACGTGCTGCGCTCGCTGGGCTCGGTGTTGGGCGTGACGGTGCCGACGCTACACCTCGGCATGATGTTCTCCACCAGCTGCTGGCACAGGGATCCGCACGGGCTGCCCTGGATAGAGTACATGCACCGAGGACCGCCCAAGATATGGTATGTATTTTATTTTTACAACTACAATAGTAGTCAATCTTTGTGTGTTACCAGTAATAATTATTGTTATCGGAATTTGTATATGCTTCCAATTTTAGCCATCAATCTCTCGCTGCCATTATGTATTGTGTTTTTTTTTATGCAGTTAAAATTTTTAACCTTTTTTAATAACCCCACTACTTGTGAACACAACGTTCTGAGCAAACAGGGACGATATTGTCTATGAGTGTGATCAACTAGAAACAGAATATTCCACTTTTAATGCTTTTTCACATTGCTTTTTTTTTTCATAAATATTTTATTTATTTATTTTATTTTACACTTTATTGCACCAAGTAAAAAGAAAAATAACAAATACAGTAAATATTAATGAGAAGTGATACAAAAGGCGGCCTTATCGCTAAGCAATCTCTTCCAGACAACCTTTGGGTTGAGGACATTGAGAAAATGGCAAAGGATAGGTGGCGCACTATTATATAGATATTATCACATATATACACACATATATATATACACACTACATATACACATACAAATATATACATAAACATACATATACTTAATAGCACACATACAACAGAAGAAAATGATGGAGGAAAATAAAGAGAGAACACAGGAAAATAGTACTAACGGGAAAGGTAGTAGGATTTAATAGAGGTTTTGAAGCTAGTGAGAGTTTGAGCGCACCGAATAGAGGTAGGCAGAGAGTTCCATAGGCGAACTGCCTGAACAGTAAAAGATTTAGAATAAAAGGAAGAAGAATGAGTGGGAAATTTGAGGCAGAGGTTATTGACACTGCATAGAGTATGATCATTAGCCTCAGTGAGAAATAAGAATCGGTCTTTTAGATAATCAGGAGCAACAGGATTAAAAAGGATTGCGTAAAGAAGAGACAGGATATGCAGATTACGACGTAAACGGATAGAGAGCCACTTGAGTTGAGTACGAAATTGAGAAATGTGATCATATTTGCGAAGACCAAATATGAAGCGGATACATAAATTTTGAAGACGATCAAGCTTGTTTAATTGCTAAATAACAGGAGTCGGCATAATCAAGAATGGGCAGGAGTAAGGTATGTGCAAGCGCAATTTTGGTGTTAACCGGGAGGAAATTACGTAATGCAGGAAGGCATTTTATTTTTAGGTAGAGGGATTATGAAAGCCGATTTCGAAGATGAAGGAAAGATACCGGAGGACAAGGAATTATTGAAAAGTAAGGTGATGGAGAGTTACCATCAGGATGGGTAAAATCATAGTACGACTAACGCTATCGGTGCCAATGGCCTTTAACAATATAGACCGCAAACTCTTCTCAACATCACAATCTGTCAACTGATAAAAATCGGTCAAATGATGAAAATAAAAGGAGTACACTCAGGGGCGATAGTGGACGAAAGGCAGTGCAATGTCTTACATTTTTCATTGCTGTCCATGACAGTAGAAGTACAAAAATGATTGTTTAGACACTCAACATCAAGATTAACAGGATTATCGTTACGATTCTTACCAACCCCTAATGATCTAAGAAATTTCCAAGCTTTTGCTGGATCACCATTTTCTATAGATTTATGAATGTGGCGTCGTTGAGCCTACCTACACACCCTGTTGCAGAGATTTCTAGCATTGACGTACTCATTACGGTGTCTGTCCGGATTCGACTTATATTTAGTTTTAGCAATATTTTTTTTTTGTGAATTATGAACTTGATCTTGTCTGTAAGTCAAGGTGCTGGTAAATGCTTAACCCTGACCGGGCGGATAGGAGCATGTTTATCGTACAGATCTAGAACTAATTTATTAAATAATTGTACCTGATCATTAATATTTGCTGCTGTACCAATACTCGACCGATCACAATCCGCTGCATCGTGACGTAAACGGTCAGTCTCAATACCACCAAAATTGCTGCATGAGGATTTTCCGTTTATCTTTGGGAGGACGAATTTTATAAGACAGATAAATGAAGTTATGAAAGGAAAATGCATCTGCAGGATATTGGCCATGTTTCGCAACATGGTCAGGGAAGGAGACTAAAATTAAGTAAGGAAGGGTTACAGTTAGGAAAGAAATAGGTGGCTTGGAGGGGCAGGATCTCAAGATTGCAATCATTGGCCAGAGACTTAAGACGATTCGCACGCAGGTCATTTTTGAGAAGGCAAGTATTAAAGTCCCCCATAATGATAGTGTGACTATATAGAACGGGATTTTTTTTTTTTGTTATGAATGATAATGAAATGGTCTTAATATATTCTAATGTTAAGCTAACAATTTCTTTAAAAGACCTGTAGCTAAGTTGTTCCCTCTGCCACTGAATAACTTAAATTTGTTAATTTTTCTAACAGTTATGTAGTAATTTGATTACTATTATCTCACTTTGTGTTACTTGTTTGCTATATTCTGAAGGACTATAGTAGTCCTTGGGTGGCGGAGTGTTTAATTGATAACTGGTATATAAACTCTTTGTAGGCCCTTTATACAAAAAAAGAAAAAAATATGTTTTGTATCTGACACATTCGATTGTGACGTTTTTGTACAAAATTATTAAATACATTCAAGATCAAGATTCGACTTTATTTTTGTTCATTCGGTGAAAATGAACGTCAATCAGTCAGTTCAGTCAACGTCACAATCAAGTGTCAGATAATAACATTTTTTTCCCCGCCTGCGCTAACGGTATACGCTGGCGGGGCACCAGTGAAGGATGATAGGTGAGGATGAAAAGACAGACCAGTTAGCCCATCGTGATGAGGACCACGGGGAGGTCGACCTGTAAGGGTATATTATTAGCAATGGGACTGATAATCCGTATTACTAACAATCTCTTCCCCCCCGCCCCTATAGGACGCGATTAGGTCCTCTAAGAGGCTTTCAAGGTAGGAAAAATAATCAATAGAGGAAGATGGACTATAGAAAACTCCTAGTAGAACTTTGGAATGACAGAAAGTTACTTGAAGAAAAATAAGGTTCCGAGTTCAATTCCCAGTCAATTTAGGTAAGGTAACTTTTCTGAATCCGCTCAGAACTGGCTTGTACCAGGGAGTGTCCAGATATTTGTTGAATGGTTTCACATATGATCATTGAAGCAGGCCTTATCCTCAACCTTATATAAATATTATAGGTACGGTATTCCGGATGAGCAGAGTGATAATTTCCGAAAAGCTGTGGAGACATTGTGCCCTACGTCGTGCCAAAACAAATCCATCTGGCTCCCGTCGGACATCACAATGATCCCGCCGGAGCTGCTGCGCGAGCACAACGTGACCCTGTCCCGGGTGGAGCAGTCGCCCGGGGAGTACGTCATCGTGTTCCCTAAGGCGTACTCCTGCTCGATATCCACTGGTTACACGCAGTCCGAGAGTGTGTACTTCGCCACGGACGCGTGGCTCGCGGGCGTCGACAGAGTGTTCCACGTATGTAATTATAATACATTCTCACATGTTATGTTGTGTATATCGCTCTTATGTTAAACACTTGTTCTCAATCAGCTTTAAAAAGCAGGAAGTTGTCAATTCGGTTTTTTCCGCTGTTTGTTATATCATAACTCCGACAGTTTTAAATCAATTTGGAAATATCTTTATTTTTTCATCTGATAGATTTAGAGGTAACAAACATAAATGAAAATACAACCGAATTGGGAGTCTCGTTCTTTTTGAAATCGATTGAATTTCATATCTTGTTTCATGGCAGGAGCTGCGCGAGAACTGTGAGCCGACAATGTTCTCCCTAGAGCAGCTGTTGCTGGCTATTGCCGCCGACGGCCGAAGCACAGCACGGGTGCTGCGGCCCGTGTCTGGCGCCCTAGGCCGTCTGGTGGCCGACGAGCTCGACCATCGGCGGCAGTTAGCACGGCTCGGTCTTACAGCTGGCGCCGCCGAAAGTTCCAACACACGGGCGTGGCGCCGACGGCCGGCAGGCGCGTGGACCGACAGCGAGCAAGACGAATGTGAAGTCTGCCGCAGGACTCTCTATCTGTCTAAAGTAAGATATGATTGTCACTAGAAGTGTGCGTAACAGTGGTTTCTAGCGTTACAAATGTATATATTTATATTGGCTGAATATATTTTGAATATTTGACAATATTTATTTATTTATTCATTAGTACAAATATGTGTACATGGCGGACTTAATGCTAAAAGCATTCTCTCCCAGTCAACCATAGGCTAGTGTCAGAATACTCGAATGCGGTACTAGTAATTATTGATATACATACATACTAAAATTACATATACAAACGAATAAATGTATATGAATAACAAATATACTTACACATATATGACATATACTATATTATACACGAAATTGAGAATAATATAAAGCTCTTACTGAATAATGAATGAATTAATGATTTGAAAATCAATAACAAGTATCGCTTACCATCAGGTGAACTGTAAACTAGTGTATTGTTGGCCAAGTGTAAAATTATATTGTATTTTGCAGGTGAGGGGGGTGGCCGGTCGCCGCGCCGCTGCTTGCTTGCAACACGCACTCCTGTTGCTTCGCCGTGACTCGGACGCGGGCTCGGGCGCCACACTACGCTGCTACTACTCCGAGGACGACCTGCGTGACGCTGTCTGCGCTCTCGACGCTCGACTGCGACGACTTGCGGCCAACGATAAAGCATAAATACTGCACAAGGTCTGCCCCATAGATTAAGATATATTTTTTTTTTAATGGGTGATAATGGAATTCACCCCACCCGCGCTATCGGTATACACCGGTAGGGCACCAGTGAAGGATGATAGGTGAGGATGAAGCAGGTCAGTTAGCTCGTCGTGACGAATTCAACAAGAATTGTTCACGATGGTTTCCAGGGGGAACCACGTGGAGGTCGATCTAATAGGGCATATTGTTAGCAATGGGGCAGTCAAACCCCATTGTTAACAATTCCTTTCCCCCCAGATAATTAGGTTATGGGTAGTATGGACACTGATACAATATCTATATATTGGAAGTCTTTCTGTCAAGAATGTCATTACTTATTTCCGTATTATATTTTGGATAAACGATATATATATATATATATATATATATATATATATATATATATGTATGTATATATATATATGTATGTATATATATATATGTATATATATATATGTATGTATGTATATATATGTATATATATATATGTATATTAACTGATATTGTAACTACAATGTATAGATATTTCTACATATTACCCATCCCTACTACACAATATAAATTCGAAACTGTTTCGGTGCAGATTCAGATTGGGCTGTGATATTTTATGAATAGTTGATAAGCTCAAATTTTAGGCAAATTGATTGATTCGAGACTGTCTTACTAATAGTTTGTGTATATTAATAAATTTTATGGAAAAATTACATGTTCCAATGTATATAAACGTTATGAAGTATATAGATTGGCAATGTGCTTAAAGCTGATTTGGCGGGAACATTTATAAAATTAATTTCTAGTTATTTTACGTTTTTATATTAAATTAACGTAAAATATATCAAGTTATAAATTTGAAAAAAGAACCATATAATTGCACATTAATCACGTGATTACCCTTTAAACATTTATCATTTTAAGTTCAATGATTAATAGTAAAACAAATTTTTTTTTATACAACTTAGAATGGCAAACAAGCGGACAGTTCACCTAATGGAAAGTGGTAACCGTCGCCTATAGACATGAGTAGTACCATGGACATAACAGAGTATACTGTTTCGCCCATGATACCCCCCATGCGTTGTCATTCCTGAGGACTCAGGTGTTATTCCTCTGTACCCAGTAAATTCACACCATATCCCACCCTTCAAACCGAAACACAGCCATGCAAACACAACTGTTTCACGGTTGAAACACGAATGGGACAAAGGTACACAAGCAATCGACTTTTGTACAAAGTCTCCAATTAATATTTAACCCAACTAAAAATATGAATATCCATTAATTTAAATGTCTCATTTTTATTTATTTATTGCATTCCATAATAATTAATTAATACATAATTATTACATAAGGTTTCAATTATGGACCCTGTTGGGCACAGCAAGTAGGAGAGAGGAGGACAACACTTTTTTCACTTTCGAAATAGTATATCACGATAAGTACGTATTTTATTATTACTGCATTTTTTTACTGCATTGCCAATCTATCTACTTCTATAGTATAAACATGGTGTTTAAATTGGCTGTAAGATTATAAAATATGTCCCACTGATTTAAGACTGTCATATTGCATTTGCCTGTCAATACTTATTATTATAATACGTAAAGAGACTAGTACCTTAATTAGGTTTAAATTTGTGTTTTGCTTGGTTTTATTTTATATAAAATTTTTAATAGGACTCATTTAAATATAAGCTCCAATGTGTGTTTATTTTATTTATAAAATAGCCTAATGTTACGACGAAAAACATTTTCAGTGATTAGTGCTCGTTTCAATATAACGAGATTTTATTTTGTCGTGCGATAGTGGACAATTGATTGCTCCGGTTTTTTTTTTATTGGCATTTATTTTAGTATTTATTTACATATTAGAGGAATTTATTATTCGCGTTGAAATACAAAGATTTGGCCATTGATTTGTAGGAATCCGCTAGATTTTTTTTTCATTCTGATGTCAATATGAGTAATGTGGCATCATCTAGGCTATAAAAATACATAAATAGACATATATAATATATTAACTTAAAAGTGAATTAAATATAGGGTATAATAACTTTTTCTTTTTAATAAAATAGGTGTATCTTATATTTAGGTAACTTTATGTACGTGATTTCAGTAATGGAATTTGTAAATAGAAATTAAGAGATATTTTTTTTTTTATAAAATCGGCGTATCTTACATTTAGGTAACGTTTTGAACGTGACTTCTTATATTTTTTTTACTATTAATCATTGAGTTAATAGTACATTACTGCAGCGGCCAGCAATTGAGGTATTGACGGACGAACGTGCAAATGTGGGCCGAGGCGTAGCCGAGGCCTACATATGTGAGTCCTATGCCTAGTTGTGGCCAAGGCTTGTATAGTAATTTTCTCAAACAATGCGCGGAAATAAAAAACACAATTTTATTTATTAAGTTCAATGACGAATAACAAACAATAATAATTTTTCACGCGCCATAATGTTCCTTTGTTTTTTTTTTTCAATAAACGGCAAGCCAGTTCGAAATTTAAATAAAACCTTTTATTAGTTACCTCCTTGGTAGCCATGTTTCGAAATAAAAGGTCATTCCATTTTTAAATTACAGGACAGATATGAGTTTACATAGTAATTTATCTGGCTGCAAAACACGACAGATATGGATTTTCATACATTTTTTGCCGGCCGCTGCCCACATGTATCTGGCCAGTATGGCAATTTTGATTTATCTCGAAGAAGATTGTCAAAATAATGCTCACATTTCCAAGGATGTTTGAGAAAATAGTCTAAGCATTAGTTGTAATCTGCATATAAAGTTGTTTATAAACAACGACATTTGGACCACAACTTGTAAGGTTCGCGCTTTAATAAATAAATAAACAAGGAAATATTGACATCTTATTGTCGCCACTGATAGACGGTACTCCGCGTTATAAATTATCGGATAATGTGAGAAATGTCTAAGACTTAAACTTAGGTACCAAATCGTGCCATTCTTAGACAGCTGAAGCCTAGTTTAGATTACACTAGTAATTTAGTCAAATTTAGTAATATACTAATGTTAACTTGTCCATTATAAATTATAAATTAGGCACAAAAGAACCTAACCAAGTCTGGATAAACTCAAATCTTGCTAGTTAACTGTAGTACTCAATTGGGCTAAGTTAATAAGGTTACTACTACGAAGTTATGCCCACAGCCACTTTCTACCATCGTACGGCTCGCCATCGACAGGGAGTTCATCCTCATGTCCTACAGCCTCAATGGTCGCGTACTGCGCGGTTTCAGAGATGTTTCCTCCCGCGAACACTCAGGTTGTGGAATGAGCTCCCTGCCGAGGTTTTCCCAAGAGACTACAGCATGGGGTTCTTCAAAAGGGGGTAAAGAGGTTTCTTCAGGGTCGGCAACGCGCGCGTAATACCTCTGGTATTGCAGGTGTTCATAGGCTACGGTAACCACTTACCATCAGGTGGACCGTATGCTTGTTTGCCATATCAGTGGTATAAAAAAAGAAAAAAAATATATTAAAGTTTGATTGATTTGATTGTTCCAATGATGATGATGATCACTCGACTGATTACTAATAATTAAGTAATCTCTTTGTATAGACATCAACTGGATACTCTTTCATTTCATTGTCATTCGTAAAATGGTGCTAATAAAAAAAAAAATTCACAAGTTTCTTTATTTCATATTTTGGTGGATTCAAAATATATTTATTTTAAATATATTCTAAAAATATATATTATGTCTATTATTTTGGATATTGTAAAAAGAAAAAAAAAAACATTTACACACCGAAATGGTAAATAATGTTGAACAACTGTAACTTAAGATCTGCTACTGGCAATCACCAATATATTGTAAATAAATTATTATTATTATTATTATTATAAAATTATAGTTTTTATATATAAAGTAATAAAATTGTATTTATTCGGAGCCAGAGGGAAATTTTGTACAAAAGTCGTTTGCTTGAGTACCTCTGTCCCATTCGTGTTTCAACCGTAAAGCAGTTGTGTTTGCATTACTGTGTTTCGGTTTGAAGGGTGGGATATGGCTTGAATTTACTGAGTGCAGAGGAATAACACCTGAGTCCTCAGGAATGGCAACGCATGGGGGGTATCATGGGTGAAACAGTATACTCTGTTATGTCCATGGTACTGCTCATGTCTTTAAGCGACGGTTACCACTTTCCATCAGGTGGGCCGTCAGCTCATTTGCCATTCAAAGTTGTATAAAAAAAAATCGGAGGCATGATATGTTAAAAAAGTATGATTAGTACGATGGATTCTGTGGATCCATTTCTGTAAACTTATATCTTAATCTACTACTTTAATTTGATAATTTTACGAAATTATTGTTTTATGGAATTAGTTTGTATTTTTTAATGGCACACACACTGGAGGGGCTCCAGTGAGGGATGCTAGGAGAGGATAAAAAGGCAGGTCAGTTAGCCCATCGTGATGAATTCAACAATAGTCGCGATGGTTTCCAGGGGGACTGCGTAGAGGTCAACCTGACAGAGTATATTGATAGTAAAAGGGACTAACTTCCCCATTACAAACTATATCTTCTCCCATTTGTTCTTACAATGATGATTTCACTGCGATATCTAATTGGGATTTTAGAGGTAAGTTTATAGAAATCGATGCCAATAATTCCATTAATATTGAATTTAAACTAGTCTGCAACAAGGATAGTTGCAATAAAATTTCTAGTATTGGCTATGATCGATCGAGTATAACTTTTTAATTGTTGGCAGTAATGTTGTATCGGCACTAGACAAGTTGTAACTTTATTGTGGGAGAATAATTATGTTTTAACTTCTATTGTGGCAGCATTGATTTAGTTTTTATTTAATTATTTTTTTATCTGGATTAGTATTTAGATATTTTCTTTTTATTTATTTAGGTTAGTATTTTTATGTTTGCAGTAAAAATATTTACTTTAATTTGCTGCCAATATTCACATTGTAATTTGTAATCCTACACATCTGCATAGTTCTAGGGAATTGATTTAATTTGATACTAATTATTACATTAAATATTGTAAAATTTTATCATTGAAACAACGTGATCTCTCATTATAATGTAACTAGCTTTATTTTCCTATAAGAATACTTTATCTTGAATAAAATAATTTTTTAAATCCAATGTGTTTAATTTTTTTCATGAAAACTATTAGAACCATATATTTTATGACTCATGAATCACTGAAGAAAAATCAGTGGCACCAATCTCTGAAATTAAAATATCTATTTTAAAAATTCATTGTAAAAACGAATATAAATTAAATTTCTAATAGATTTTTAAATCACAATTATTATACTAAATGTATAACAATTGTTACTTAAGCCTATTAAAAATACTTCATGAAAACAAAATATTAGTTGTAAAGATAAATTTGGATGGTAATGATCCCACAGAATCGACCCTGCTTGCTGGTGATCTTCATACACTAAAATCTTTTTACACTCAAATCTCATCTTACATAAGAGTTTGAGCCACAATCCCTCGTGTTTTTCTCTTGATAACGAAACTGCCTCACCTCGATCAGTGTTTACACAAACTTGATTCTTTTGTGTTCAAAACACCACAAACAAACACTGATTACATGTCCTGAACTTGACACTATCCTGACTTCCACGCCAATTAGCTTGACAATGTCCTAACACTGGCGTAAGTCGTAACTATTCCTGACTTCGCACGGATAGGTAGGTAGAATGTCTGAAAATATAGCACCTGTTCTCACTGATGATGTAGGATTCTATACGTGAAAGAATATTTCAAATTGGTTAAGTATTTTTTATACATTACAAAAAAACAATCAACTTATTTACTTTAACAGATCTGGTAAATGTTTTGCTCCTAGCAGATCCTCCATTTTATTGGAACAAACTATAAACATTTAAAATTTTTTATTAAAATCATTTGAAAGCTTCAAAATATTAGTAGGTATCATA